GAAACTGCAGTCCACTGGTGCCTGAATGAGAACAACTTTCGGGAAAGCAAGGCTATGTGAAATTCAATGGATACGTCAACTCAACTCATATCATTGTAAGAAAATTCTTCTTCTACCAAACCTTCATCAACGAAATTGGGTGAATGCATCTCATATTACTAGATAATAGCAAAACTTTTTTCTGATGCTAATTGCATTAATTCTTCAAATATACCAACATTATTCAATAGTCCACTTCTTGTCGTGATTCCTGGTGTTTTTGTCATGTTTCATCACCAATTCCAGGAACCTAACCCGCCCTAAAATTGATCAAGACTACTCTAACAGCATTGTGCTACCAACTCATTCATGCCAGTAACAAGAATTTGACTAAAATTGGCACCGACTCAATTATCATTACCCCCCCCCTGCCTTTCCGTTCAATAGTAGTAATATCAACATCTTCACCACTATCCCTGTTCACAGTCTCCTCCCGATGACCCTCGCCACTACCGAGATTTTCCTTAACGTAAACAGTTCCGGAGTCATTATACATTTGAATAGGGGCTCTAATCCCCATAGGTTTTTCCCACATGATATGAGCAAGCCTCATATTTCAATTCAATTTATCACAGCACTGCTTCCCAAAAGGTATTTTCCTCCCAGCCGGACTGGACTGCAATTTCGTCATAGCCTGGATCTCAACAGCATCACCAGCAGGACTCAAACCCGGGTAATGTAGTGCATAATCTTGACATGTTGCCATTATGCTACATCACCACGAGTGCCCCTGGCTTACAGGATAGGCTTGAATTTCAAGCAAGGCATATGGGATTGTCGATAAGGCAAACATGTACTTTACTATTAAATTAGACTATGTTATTTAGTTAAGAGTTGTATTCACCATAATTCGTTTGAGGTAATGAAGTCCTATTAGTCGAATTCGTCTACACCTCGAACGGAATACAGCGAATGCATCTCTCATATCAGATCTACTGGTAGTCTCAAAAACCTATTTATGAAACCCAAGATATGTCACTTTTATTCAGACAAAGTTGGTTTTTCAAAATAGAATATTTCTTTACTAATAGTTCTGGTTGCCCCAGGTGATAGTCGATATCTCCAACACTTATATGAAATTTAATGGAAACGTGATACCTACTCATTTGACAGTGGGAACATTATACTATCAGTTCTTCATCATCATATGCGACTTGGGATGAATAGAACACTAATCTAACATTGAATGATAGTCTAGAAGCCCTAATTTATCTGACTATCATTACAACCCTGAAATTCCTTGAATTATCTACCACGAGTCAATCGGTCTCCCCAAATCATGACGCAATAGCATAGCCAGTCTGCTTGGACCAAATATGCTCCAATGCGCCAACTAGCGGGGGCATCTCTTATGCAGTCTCGTTTCGTCAGGCCATGACTTGTTAGCTGACCAAACTAACCTATAATCCGGCCATCCGGTTCCGCAAAATGCTACCAATTTAGCCATCTCTCCGTCTACCTTTATTCACCCTGTTCGCGGGGACGAATAGCCGTTGTAAGATAATATCAGGCCTCTATTTGTCTCGGATACCTGCTCACTCAATTTCAACACCCTGACAACATGATATGGCTATGCTACCACAAGAATACACGTAATGGAGTTGTGCTCTGCTATCTAACTTTATGGCCGTAATCATCTCCGTTAGCCTTATATGCTGGCAGTAGTATCTGCCCCTGATCAGGTATCCATAGCTATGTTCGCGCTTGTGCGTGTGTATGTCGAAAGACTGAAGTCTCTTGAAGCACAGGGTCACCCTAAGATTACGCAAACCAACCGATACGAGACAGAAATAGAGGCCACGCCATCTTGGTCTGCATGCATTCAAATCAACCCATCCTCAATTCCCTCGAGTTCGCCAACCCACTACCAACCCACATATTGGTGCATCTGCCAACCTGTCTGTCGGTTTATTTACTTTGTTACGCCAATTGTGCTTGTCGTGTATGTGAAACTATGGCGGCAACTGCAGTAAAATGGGGCTCGACAGCCATCGTGAGGCCGGGGCGCATAGTATCAGTGTGAGTCCGCCTTAGGCTTATCCGTCTGGGCATACTGGCCAGAGGAGCGATGACGGGTACATAATTCAAGCGGAGTTCGTTACGCCCGGCGTCGTGGCTTTAGGCGACAAGTTGGACATAGTGAAGCAGTCTAGAGTGGAGGTAAGGGAGCGAGATTAGGCGAGCTTGCCTCCGTTGCATAGAGGGGAGGGGAAATGAGCTGAAGGGGAGTGAGCAGAGGAGGGAAGACGCTCGTGTAGAGTGGAGTTACGATAAAGTCGGAATGGCGGTAGGCGGGAGAGAGTAGAAAGAGCAAACCGAATAGAGGAGCCGTAGCGACACACAAAAGCAAAATTGAGCGACTTTGTGAAAATGGTGTAACGATGGTGCGTTCATAGTGAGGCGGGCGCCTGAGGTTGTATGAACTTGGTGTGGATACAATGCACAAACACACAAATGGCGCGTGTGTATGAGTGTGCACTTGCCTGGGGCTGACTTAATTGGGCTTTATAGATTGGCCTGGTTTAATGTACACTGAAAGACCAGTTGCGTAGTGGCTCGATTTCCAGTTGGCGGGTTTCTTGCATTTGCTCACGCACAAAGTAGGTTTAATGACCAGCCAAGAACAAGGTGATAACCGTAACTTAGAGTGTGTTGCTAGTTGCTGAGCTCAAAGTCAGTCGATGCCGCCCAGGGCTCAGAACCCAATCTGTATCAGACTCGGGTGCCACCCCCGAATAGAACGCTGTCTCTGAGGCGTTTCCCCCTGACGCCAGACCCAGTTTCCAACCCGAGCGTGACATCCTATTTGTTAAGCTTAAGTTCGCTTGGCGCGTCGCCTGTTGACCGGCCCGACTCCAAAGCCTAGGCTCGTAGTAGTACATTGAACGTTGAGCGGAGAATTGCACGTCACCAAGTCAATGACCACGACAACTGATACAGTTAATAGTGCTGCTGTTGTTGATATTACAATCAGCGGCAATAATTTCTCTCATTTTGCCGACACAAAAGAACGGCAAGAGTTAGCGCTCAACTACTGTCCCATCAATTTTATGGGTTCATACTGTCAGGCCACGCAATTAAATGCCCACAGACTCACAATAACTTTGCATACAGAGCGAGGGGAGAGAACGACAGAGGTACATAGATTAGAATAGAGTGGTACAGATTAAGACACAGATTGCGCTGCCTCCAAACGAGCCAATCACAAATCCATACTCACTTCTGCCTTATTCATTAATCGGACAGTCTAGGCCGGCATTCTCACCGCTAGCTCTTCTGCCTGTTCACGGTCTGTTCACTATCCTCCAGTTCCAAAATAACATCCTAAAAGAGCGCTCGGTTCCCGGCCATAAAGAGGCGTCAGGCCTGAGGGGGTGAGGGCTGACGATAGAGAAGAGGATAGGATGGTTGCAATGGGAGGACACAAGAGAGAGACCGGGGAATCTGAAGCCTAGCTGAAGAGGACGGAGACGAGAAATGTGAATGGTGAGAGAGGGATCTTTTGCGGCCGGTTTGCGGCCAGTTGTGCCCTGGCATTTCATACCGCCTTTTCTCTTTCTCTCTCTCTCTGCATCTGCATCGCTCTGTCTGTTTCTAACCTTGAGCCTGTCAGTAAAGCCCGTCTACAAAGTGAATACACCGGAACTTGACTCTTCATGGCAAGGCCATCGTACAAGTGGGTCCGGCGGTCCTTTAGAGTGGATACATAATTGTCCAGAGATCCTCTCCACCCCCTTTTCTCCCCTCTTTACCCATCGACCGCTTCCTCCTCTTACTCTTGCTCCTCTTGCCCCTCTTTTATTTCCTCATTACCGCAACACTATGTCCACAACACGTTTCGAAAGCTCTATGAGGGCTGGAAGTAAGCGTACTACCAACTTCTCAGGCCAATAAGCTTGACCTGTTAAAAAAAGTGAATATCTCCTTAGTTGAACGAAAACTGTCTTATAGCAAGGTAGTGTGTACAAATGTGGGCTATTAGAAATTAAATTTTTCTTATATCATTGTTGCTAAGACCCAATGTGTTCGGACTAGGAATAAGAAATGAATATTTAAAGTAAGTAGGTTTAAATGAATATACGTCAACCTTGAACACGATTTCCAGTCAGCCAAGGTCGCAGAAGGTGAGGACAAATGGGTAATTTGTATTTTCCCACAATTATATTTTATGTTTCAACTAAATTTCACTTGGTATTAGATTGTAGATATAAACACAAAGATGGTGTGGCAGTCCCCTAAGTATTGCCTCATAGAAGGTATCCTCATTCAGGCTGGACTGAACTGAACCACC